TGCTCAAAATTCTTAGCCATCAGAGAACTGCAATTCAAAACAACTCAGAGATACCATCTTACGCAGACCAGAATGGCTAAAATCAAAAATACCAATGACAGTCTGTGCTGGAGAAGATGTCGAGAAAAAGAACACTGCTCCATTTCCGGTGGGAGTGCCAACTTGTACAACAACTTTGGAAACCAGTATGGCGGTTTCTCAGGAAATTGGGCATCAGTCTACCTCAAGATCCAACAATTCCTCTCTTGGGCATATACCCAAATAATGCACATTCATACAACAAGGGCATATGTTCAACCATGTTCATAGCAGCATTGTTTGTAATAGCCAGGACCTGGAAACAACCTAGATGCCCCTCAACTGAAGAATGGATAGAGAAAATGTGTTACATTTATACAATGGAGTACTCAGCAGAAAAAAAGCAATGGAATATTGAAATTTGCAGGGAAATGGATGGAACTAGAAGAAACCATCTGAGTGAGGTAACCCAGTCACAAAAAGACAAACATGGTATGTCCTCACTCATATATGAATTTTAGGCATAGAGCAAAAGATTACCAGCCTACAATCCTCAATACCAAAGGAACTAGGAAACAAGAAGGACTCTAAAAGAAAAATGCATAGACCCTGGAAAATGGGAAGGGGCATGATCTCCTGAGCTAATTGGGAGCATGAGGGTAGGGGAGAGGGAGCTGGTAGAATGAGAGGAGGAGAAGAGGATGGGAGAGGAGGTAATGGAGGAACAGAATGTTTGAGTCAGGGGAAGAATAGAGTAGAGCAAGATGAGAGATACCATACCAGAGGGAGCCATTATAGGTCTGAGGAGAGATGTCACACTAGGAAGATTTCTGGAGATCTACAAAGATCACACCAATGACAATCTAGGCAATGGTGGAGAGACTACCCTGAATGCCTTCCCCTGTAATGAGACTGATGACTACTTTATATGACATCCTAGTGCCCTCATCTAGTGGCTGATAGAAACAGAGTCAGACACCCACAGGTATACACTGAACTGAACTCTGGAACCCAGTTGCAAAAAGGAAGGAATGAGATCAAAGGGTTCAGTCCCAGGCTGGTAAATCGCACTGAAACAGCTTGCTTGAACAAGGGGGAGCACAAGGACCCCAGTCTGATATCTGGGAGGCCAACAAGGGACTGATCCAGAACCCTGAATGTGGATGTCAATGAGGATCCCTCGGCATTCTGTGGGGCCCCTGGTAGTGGATTAGTATTTTTCCCTGGTGAAAGATGGGACTTTGAGAACCCATCCCAAGTGAAGGATGCTCTCTTGGCCTGGACGCATGGGGGAGGGCCTAGTCCCAGCACAGGATGATGGAGTGGACTTTGGGGAGCCCCCATGGAGGGCCCTACCCTCCCTGAGGAACAGATGGGAGATGGAATGGCAGGCTGCGGGGGAAGGTTAGGGAGAGGGAGAAAGGATTGACATCTGAAGCAAGCTTATTCCTAATTTGAACTAATAAAAAATAATAATAATTTCAAAAAATAGAGGGTACCATTATAGGTTCAAGGAGAGATCTGGTACTAGAGATTTCCAGAGATCTACAAGGATGATACCAACTTGCAATCTAAGCAATAGTGGAGAGGCTACCCTAAATGACCTTCCCCTATAATGAGGCTGATGACTACCTTATACGCTATCCTCTAGCCTTATTCCAGTGGCTGATGGAAGCAGAAGCAGATACTCATAGCTAAACACTGAGCTGAACTCTGGAACCCAGTTGCAGAGAGGGGGGAGTGATGAACAAAGAGGTCAAGACTGGGCTGTTGAAACCCACAGAATCAGCTGACCTCAACAAGAGGGAGCAAATGGACTCCATATTGATGGGTGGGAGGCCAGCAGGGGCCTGATCCAGACCCCTAAACATGGATGTCAGTGAGGAGGCCTGGGCACTCTATGGGGCCTCTTGTAGTAGATCAGTATCTTTCCCTGGTGTATGAAAGGACTTTGGGAACCCATTCCGTGTGAAGGGATGCTGTCTCAGCCTGGACACATGGGGGAGGGCCTAAGCCCTGCTCAGGATTACATGACAGACTTTGGAGATCCCCCATGAAGTTCCTTACAATCCCTGGGATACAGAAGGGAAATGGGGTGGGTGCTTGGTCTGGGTGGGGGAGGAGGAGAGGGAGAGGGAGCAGGGATTGACATGTGAAGCAGGCTTGCTTCTAATTTGAACTAATTAAAAATAAAACAAAAACAAAAATCAACCAACCCAAAAAATAAAAATAAATAAAGAAAACATGACAAAAAGAATTGACAATCTTCAGTGGTTAGGAAAGCTCTCATTGTGCATATATACTAGTGGCTGAAACTGGGGAGATCATCTCAGCGGGAGCAGAGAGTTGATGATGCAATAAAGGGTCAGAACTCTGAAGCAGGCCAGTCCCCACCCAGATGATTATGAAGTCAGCAACCAGCCTCAAAGGACACATGAGGGGAGCTGTGGTGTTTTCCTTAGCTCTGCCAGTCTACTACTAGCTGACTACACTTTCTACACTTAATTGGCCACCAGCTCATTTGGAGACAGTGTCACTGGTAAGTATAGGCTCCATTCATTTCTGTTGTATATATAATTGATGTTTTTAAGTATGTATATTTGTATTTATGACTGACTTTGGAAAAGTAGGTTCATGTCTATATGTACATTCACAGTGATATGGAAATGTCAAGATTGTTCATATTCCTCAAATGAAATGATGTCCTGATTGAATGTCATCCCCCAATTCTCACTGCCATGGCTGCTAGTAACTGCCACTATGCTATCTGAATGTGGAGGTGATAGCACCATGGCCCCTTTTAGTGGAATTACATGGTTGTTGATCTTTTGTGACTGGCATTTTAGTGTAATCTGCACAAGTCTGATCCATTTGACACTACATGCAAATGGAGGATAGCAAGATAAGAGATACCATAATAGAGGGAGCCATTATAGGTTTAAAAAGAAATCAGGTCCTAGGGAAATGTCCAGAGATCTACAAGGATGACCCCTGCTAAGAATCTAAGCAATAGTGGAGAGGGTACCTTAATTGATCTTCTCCTATAATGTGATTGATGACTACCTTATATGCCATCCTAGAGGCTTTATCCAGTAGCTGATGGAAGCAGAAACAGATGCCCACTACTAAGCACTGAGCCAAACTCCTGGAATACAGTTGTAGAGAGGGAGGAGTGTTGAGCAAAGTCGTCAAGACCAGGCTGGAGAAACCCACAGAAACAGATGACCTGAACAAAAGGGAGCTCATGGACCCCAGACTGATAACTGGGAAACAAGCATAGGACTCACCTAGACCCCCTGAGCAAGGGTGTCAGTTAGGAGGCCAGGGCAGTCTGTGGTACCTCAGTATTTATCTCTAGTGTACTAATGGACTTTGGAACCCTCTCCACATAAAGGGATACTCTCTCAGTGTAGACACACAGGGGAGGGCCTAGCTACTGCTTCAAATGATGATGTGACAGACTTTGAAGATCCTGCATGGAAGGCTTCACCTTCCCTAGGGAACAGAAAGGGATTGGGATAGGGGGGCTGGTAGGGAGCCAGGGGAGGGAGAGGGAACTGGGATTGACATATAAAACAAATTTGTTTCTAATTTAAATAAAAAGAATTAAAAACAAAAGGAAGTTTTTCTAATGAGTGATGAATAAGACATTGATCTATGGGCATAGCATTATATAATTAGGAGTCATTTTATTGCTATGTTCCTTTAGCAGAATAAACACAGTCTACGCAGTTTGTATAATGCTACTAGTATCCATATTTTCAGGGCTGACCTGGTATCTAATAGCCATTTAGTAGGATTTTCCCCATGCAAGACTATTTCTCCAGCTCTCAGAATTCCTTGGTTTTCTGCTGTTCTTTGTGTAGGGGTAAGGCCTCATAGGCTTTACCATATAATTGGTCACATATATTATTATAGACTTTGTTCTTCTCATGTTAAGGCAGCCATGCTGGTGGAACTTTATGTGTGTAGATTCTTACATTACTGAGGGACACAGTCCCATGGGAAACTACATGATCCTCTGGCTCCTACAATCTGTCAGCCTCATCTTCCATAATATTGTCTAAGCCTTAGGTGCTGGAGGTGTTCTGTAAATGTCTTTAATGGAACTGAAGCCACAATCCTGAATTTTGGTTGTTGATTTCTGCTATGGTCTCCATCTGTTGTACAGAGACATTTTCTTGAGGAAGGGAGAGAACTACACTTATCTGTGAATATCATAACAAATATTTAGAATGTAGTTAGAGATTACATAGGTTTAGTAAAGTGGTAGTTGCAGGCTTTCTTCTAAGATCTATGATAACACAAGCTCTGTGTATTTCCTAGGTTTCCTGTACCACGCATGATTTGCCTCTCCTTAGTGTCTCTTAAGTCCAGTTAGAGAGTTATTGGTTACCAGCAATGTATACTTATCATCACTACATCTTTAGGGCTATCTTTCCATGGTGGTCATTGTTGTGATTCATAGGCATCATAGCTGGTCTACAAGAGCAAGTTCCTGGGCAGCCTCCAAAGCTACAGAGAAACCCTGTCTCGAAAAACCAGAAAAAATACCACAGCTTAAATGTATGACTACACTTCTATTCTTAAGGTTGGCATATAACACCATGGTATAGATATTGCATAAATTACTCAATTGTTTTGCTTGAAGAAGCTTCATATTTTCAGTATCTGGAAGGAAAAATAGTTGGGGCCAAACTTCATTGTGAGTCTTTAAACAGTAGAAGAAGAAACTCTTAGATGCTGTGTGGATTATTAACCTGCTAGTAAGTGTTGCCACAGAGCCAGTCCTTCTGAGTTTGGTCAGAACACACTTCCTGCAGGAGATTTCCTGGTCAAAAGCCCACCTACTCAACTTAATGCTTTTCTCTTCATAGTGCCCCACAGGGGACAGTCTCCCAGGCCTGAAGAGCCCATCCTGATAATGTCCTATGTTTCTTTGCAGTTGCCAGGTGTTCATTGTGACTGTTATAATGGTCAGCAGGCGTGGCGGCCGGCAACTTGGAGGCTTTGCTGCGGCCACACTAGCATGGATCTTTTGTAGCGTCTCCATGAATCTCCCTCAATGGCGAGTGTGGTGTTTCGAAGAACCCATGGAGTCCAAACCCAGCTTGACCTTAGTAGGAATGTGGAGAACCTGTGTGTACCACAGGGAAAACAATTCTGAATTTTTAAGAGTGTGTTACCAATATACCTACCAGGACACCTTCATTCCTTTGAATATCCGTGTTGCTCAACACCTACTACTGATCTCCAGCATTCTCGGCTTGATTGCTACGATTTCTGTCATTGTTGCACTTTGGAAATTGTACACAGGAAGACTCCGGAAGAAAATCACTCACAATCCATTCTTCGTCCCCGGGATTCTGAATATCATTGCTAGCGTCTTAGTCTTCATTTCCACCCTGTATAATTATTTATCCATCATTCGCAAGGATGGAATTGCTTTCCCCCCATATTTCCACATACCCAACATCCCAGATAACCAGAAAGTTGGTACTGCCCTGGCAATGGCAACTCTTTCTTCATTCTTATTTTTAGTGGGTGGCACAATCTCCATTTCTTTCACTCTTCCCGAACGTTCCCGACCTCAGTCTTCTATCTAAAATAAATTGCCAACTTACATCAACTTGAAAATCCAAAATTAAAAGAAGTAATCACAAGTATTCTACAGACAACTACATAAAATTTCCAATTTCAGAACCAGGTCCAAGTACTACAAATGGATTTCCACTTATCTTCCTGTTTTGTTTGCTTCGTTGAGTTGCTAATGGATTTTCATTAAATAAATTCATGCACACGAAGTATCATGAGCTCTGTGTTTTAATTATTATTGCTGAAGGTAAATAATCTGGGAAGAGAGTAGATATGGAAATAAAGTCAAAATACATTGACAACTTAAATCAGCATCTGTAACAATAAAAATTAAAGCAGGCCTGTTTCCCATGCTTTAAAAATTACAACTGATAACCGGATGAAATTTCCCAAAATATGGTACAGATTGTTGAAATGATACTCCACAGTACATTTGTCAAAATACTTGTGAAGATTTTTCCCATATATCTTTGGTCTCTTATTTAGTCCTTAAATACATTTTTGTTTCCTAACGTTTGAAAATTTGCAACATCTCATCCCATCTTTATATACAGAACATTTTTTCAGGCTATCCCACACATAATTAGCTTAGTAAGGATTCGCTGTTATAGTTCCTTACATTTATATGGTTTTCTATTTTTTGTCTTTTTTATTAGTTCAAATTAAGAACAAGCTTGTTTCACATGTCAATCCCTTCTCCCTCTAGCTCCCCTCACCCATACCCCTCCTACCACACCACGACCTACCCCATCCACCCTCTACTCCCCAGGCAGGGTAGGGCCCTCCATAGGGGCTATGCAAAGTCCACCACATCATCCTGTGCTGGGCCTAGCCCCTCCCCCATGTGTCCAGGCCAAGAGTGCATCCCTTCACGTGGGATGGCTCTCAAAGTCCCTTCTTACACCAGGGAAAAATACTAATCCACCACCAGGGGCCCCCTAGAGTGCAGAGTCCTCCTGATTGACATCCATGTTCAGGGGTCTGGATCAGTCCTGTACTGGCCTCCCAGACAGCATCTGGGATCGATGTGCTACCCCTTGTTCAGGCCAGCTGTTTTTCTGGGTTTCACCAGCTTGATACCGAACCCTTTGCTCTTCATTCATCCCTCTCTGCAACTAAGTTACAGAGTTCAATTCAGAGTATATCTGAGGATGTCTGTCTCTGCTTCCATCAACCGCTGGATGAAGGCTCTAGGATGGCATAAAAAAGTAGTCATCAAACTCATTTAGGGGAAGGGCTTTTAGGTTATCCTCTCCACCATTGCCTAGATTGTCAGTTCGTGTCATCCTTGTAGGTCTCTGGAAATCTCCCTAGTGACAGATCTCTCCTCGGACCTATAATAGTTCCCTCTAATATGGTATCTCTCATCCTGCTCTCCTCTATTCTTCCTCCAAATCAATATTTCTGCTCCTCCATTTCCTCCTCTCCTCTCCTCTTCTACTGCTCTCAGTCTGGCAGCTCCCTCACCCCTACCCTCATGCTCCCAATTAGCTCAGGAGTTCTTGCCCCTTCCCATTCCTGGGGTCCATGCATTTATTCCCTAGAGTCCTTCATCTTTCCTAATTTCTGTGGTGAAGAGGACTGTAGGCTGGTAATCCTTTGATCTATGTCTAAAAAATTCATATATGAGTGACTACATACCATGGTTGTCTTTTTATGACTGGGTTACCTCACTCAGGGTAGTTTCTTCTAGTTCCATCCATTTGCCTGCAAATTTCAAGATTCCATTGTTTTTTTTTTTTTTGTTTGTTTGTTTTTTTTTGGTTTTTTTTTTGCTTAGTAGTATTCCAATGTATGACTGTAACAGATTTTCTCTATCCATTCTTCAGTTGAGAGGCATCTAGGTTGCTTCCAGTTTCTGGCTAATACAAACAATGCTGGGGTGAACATGGTTTAACATATGTCCTTGTTGTATTAACGTGCATTATTTGGGTATATACACAAGCGAGGAATTGCTGGATCTTGAGGTAGACTGATTCCCATTTTTTTGAGCAAATGCCATAATGATTTCCAGAGTGCTCTTACAAGTTCGCACTCCCACCAGCAATGAAAGAGTGTTCATTTTTCTCCACATCCTCTCCAGCATAGATTGTCAATGGTGTTTTTGATTTTAGCCATTCTGAATGTGTGAGGTGGTATCTCAGAGTTGTTTTGAGTTGTGATACTCTGATGGCCAAGAATTTTGAGCACTTTCTAAAGTGTCTTTCAGCCATTTCATATTCCTCTGTTAAGAATTCTCTATTTAGTTCTGCACCCTACTTTTCAATTTCATTGTTTGGTGTTTTGGTGGCTAGCTTCTTGTGTTCATTGTATATTTTGCAAATAAGCCCACTGTCAGATGTGGGGTTGGGGAAGATCTTTTACCATTCTGTGAACTGTTGTTTTGTCTTACTGACTGTGTCCTTTGCCTTGCAGAAGCTTCTCAGTTTCAGAAGGTCCCATTCATCAATTGAAGATCTCAATGTTTTTGCTGCTGGTGTAATGTTCAGGAAGCAGTCTCCTGTGCCAATTACTTCAAGGGTATCTCCCACTTTCTCTTCTAGAAGACTCAGTATGGCTGGATTTATGTTGAGATCTTTGATCCATTTGCACATAAGTTTTTTGCATTGTGATAGATATGGATCTATCTGCAATCTTCTGCATGTCCCAATCCAGTTTTGCCAGCACAATTTGTTGAAGATGCTATCTTTCTTCCATTGTATAGATTAGCATCTTTGTCAAAAATAAGGTGTTCATAGCTGTGTGGGTTAATATCAGGGTTTTCAATTAGATTCCATTGGTCTATCTGTCTATTTTTGTGCCAATACTAAGTTGTTTTCAGAACTATGGCTCTATATTAGAGCTTGAAGTCAGGGATGGTGATGCCACCAGAAGATCTTTTAATGTACAAAGTTATTTTGGCTATCCTGGGTTTTTTGTTTTTCCATATAAAGTTGAGTATTGTTCTTTCAAGGTCTGTGAAGAACTGTGTTGGGATTTTGATAGGGATTGCATTGACTCTGCAGATTACTTTTGGCAAGACTGTCATTTTTACTATGTTGATTCTTCCTATCCAAGAGCATGGGAGATCTTTCCATTTTCTGGTATCTTTTTTAAATTTCTTTCTTTAAAGACTCAAAGTTCTTACTGGACATTCCTTTACCTTTTTTGGTTAGAGTTACCCGAAGATATTTTATGTTGTTTGTGAATATTGTGAAGGGTGATATTTCTCTGAATTCTTTCTCATTGCATTTATCATCTGTATAAAGTAGGGCTACTGATTTTTTTGAGTTAATTTTATATCCTGCTACTTTACTGAAGGTGTTAGTCAGCTGTAGGAGTTACCTGGTAGAGTTTTTTGGGTCACATATGTAGTCATCATATCATCTGCAAATAGTGAAAATTTGACTTCTTCTTTTCCAATTTGTATACCTTTGATCTCCTTTTGTTGCCTTATTGCTCTAGCTAGAACAATATTGAAGAGATAGGGAGAGAGTGGACAGCCTTGTCTTGTTCCTGATTTTAGAGGAATTGCTTTGAGTTTCTCTTCATTTATTTTGATGTTGGCTGTTGATTTGTTGTATATTGATTTTATCATGTTTAGATATGTTCCTGTTATTCCTGTTCTCTCCAGGATCTTTATCATGAAGGAGTGTTGGATTTTGTAAAAGGCTTTTTCAGCATCTAATGAGATAATCATGTGGTTTTTCTTTTTCAGTTTTTTTATATTGTGGATTACATTGATAGATTTTTCTTATATTAACCATGCTTGCATCACTGGGATGAAGCCTACTTGATCATTTTGGATGAGTTTTATGACTTGTTCTTGGATTCAATTCACCAATATTTTGTTGAGTATTTTTGCATCAATGTTCATGAGGGATATTGGTCTGTAGTTCTCTTTTTTAGTTGTATCTTTGTGTAGCTTGGGTATCAAGGTGATTGTAGCTTCCTGAAAACAGTTTGGCAATATCCCTTCTGCTTCTATTGTGTGGAAGAACTTGTGCAGTACGGGTATTAGCTCTTGTTTGAATTTCTGGTAGAATTCTTCACTGAAGCCATCTGGAGCTGGGCCTTTTTTGTTTGGCAGGTTTTGATGACTGCTTCTGTTTCATTAGGGGTTATAGGTCAATTAAAACTGCTTATCTGTTCTTGGTTTAATTTTGGTAAGTGATATGTACCCTAGAAACTGTCCATTTCCTTTAGATTTTCGAATTTTGTGGAGTACAGGTTTTCAAAGTATGACCTGATGATTCTCTGGATTTCCTCAGGGTCCGTTGTTATATCCCCCATTTTGTTTCTGATTCTGTTTATTAACATGCTCTGTCTCTGTGTTTTGGTTAGTTTGGATAGAGGTTTGTCTATCTTGTTGATCTTCTCAACATTATTCTCAATATTATTATTTCCTGGCGTCTGCTCTTCCGGAGTGAGTTTGCTTCTTTTTTCTCTAAAGCTTTCAGTTGTTCTGTCAATTCTCTCATGTGACTGTTCTCCAGTTTCTTCATATGAGCACTTTGTGCTATGAACTTTCTTCTTAGCACTGTTTTCAAAGTGTCCCATAAGTTTAGGTATGTTGTGTCTACTTTCTCATTAAATTATAGGAAGTCTTTAATTTCGTTTTTTTATTTCTTCCTCAACTCAGGAATGGTGCGATTGGGTATTATTCAATTTCCACGAGTTTGTAGGTTTTCTGCAATTTGTATTGCTGGTGAATTCTAGTTTTAAAGCATGGTGATCTGATAAGATACAGGGAGTTATTTCAATTCTTTTGTATGTGTGGAGGTTTGCTTTGTTGCCAACTATATGTTCAATTTTAGAGAAGGTGCCATGTGGCACTGAGAAGGTATATTCTTTTGTGTTTGGATGGAATGTTCTATAGATATCTGTGAAACACATTTGTGTCATGATTTCTGTTAGATCCTTTGTTTCGTTGTAAAGTTACTATCTGCTGGTCCTGTCTAGTGGTGAAAGCAGGCTGTTGAAGTCTCCTACTGTAAGTATGTGTGGTTTTATGTGTGGTTTGACTTTAGTAATGTTTCTTTTACACATGTGGGTGCCTTTGTATTTGGGGCATAGATGTTCAGGATTGAGACTTCATCTTGATGGACTTTTCCTGTGACAAGAATG